TTTTGGTTAAAAAACAGTAAAACAGTAAAAAGTAAATATATCATCCTTTTTGACAGAGCTTGAAGCTCTTGCTAGAGCAATGAGATGAGAGAAGAAAATTAAGGGGGTAATAATTGTAAAAGAAGAGGCTAAATTATTGTGCCTTGCAGATGACATGCATTATACACAAGAGACTACCAAAATTCCACCAGCAAACTTCTAGAAATGAGCAATACTTTCAGCAATGTGGCAGGATACAAAATCATTTGCAAATATTAGTACCCTTTCCATATACCAATAATAAACTATCAGAGCAAAAATTCAAACACTCCAATTCTCAATAGCTTCAAGAGATATCTATTAATAAACCCAACCAAAGACATTAAAGATATCTATAAATGAAAATTTTAAATCTTCAAAGAAAAGAGTTAGGAAGTCACAAGGAGATGGATAGAACGTCTGTTGTTCATGGATTGGTAAAATTAATATTGAAAAAATGCACAACCTACCAGAAGCTATTTATAGATTTAATGAAATTCCAGTCAAGGTCCCAAATACATTCTTTACAGAAAAAGAACAAAATCCTTCTAAAATTCACATAGAATCACGAAAGACCCTAGATTTTCAAAGCAATCGTGAATAGTAAAAACAATATTGGGGTGATTACCAGATCTCAAATTACATTACAAAGCTATAGTTGTAAAAGCAAAATTTTATTGGTACAAAATTAGAACACTCAAACATGAGTGCCCTCACTTTCAGTTATCTGATTTTTGACAAAGATGTCAAAAACATACACTGAAGGAAAAACTGTACCTTCAACAAATGGTGCTGGCAAAACTGGCTCTCCATCTGTAGAAGAATAAAATTAGACCCTTATCTATCACCTTATACAAAAGTCAACTCCAAATGTATCAAAGACCTCAGTATGAAACCGGAAACTCTGAAACTAGTAGAAGAAAAAATAGGCAGTGCCATACAAGATAGAGGTGTAGGAAAGGACTTTCTAAATCTGATATCAGATGTTTGGGAGTTAAGGACAACAATCAACAAACTGACCTCATTAAACTCTAAAGCTTCTGCACAGCAATGGGAAAAAAACAATCAAGTGAAGAGGAAGCCTGCAGTGTTGGAGAAAATCTTCATCAGTTATTCACCTGATAAAAATTAATATCCCCAATATACAAAGAACTCAAGCTACAAAGAAGAAAGAAAACTAATGACCCAGTTAAGAAATAGACTGTGGATCTCATGCAGCGCTCTCAAAAGAAGAAATAACAAATCATCAAGAAGCACCTTAAAAGGTGAGCAACAAACTTACTAATTAGGTAAATGTAAATAAAAACTACTTAAAGATTTCCTCTTACCCCAATCAGAATTACTAAGATCAAGAGAACAAATGACAATAAATATATACAAGGATGTGAGAAAAGAGAAACCTTCATTCACTGTTGGTGCGATTGTAAAAATGTTGTTGCAATCATTATGGAAGGCAATGTGAAGAACTCTTAGAAATCTAAATATAAATCTAACATAAAATCTTGTTATACAAGTCCTTGGCATATATCCAAGAGTCTCATCCTACCGCATCAATACGTGCACAGCCATGTTTGTTGCTGCTCTTTCCACAATAGCTAATAAATTGAAATAACCTAAACTCCCTCAACTAGTGAACGGATAATGAGAATGTAGTACATTTACACAATAGACTTTAATTCAGAGGTTAAAAAAAAATCATGAATTTGTAGGTAAATGGATTGTATTAGAACTGTTACATTAACTGTAGTGCAACATAGGTTCTCTCTCATTTGTGAATCTTAGCTCCAGATTCTTAGATATAGAGACCATTACAGAGTTCCAAAACTGATCAAATGTACAGAATATGTGTCACTAAGGTGCCCATCCCTAAGTGGTATATATACAATGCAGCCTCTACACTGAAGGCTCAAGAAACATAATGGAACAGGGGACACAAAGAATATTAATGAATCGCTCAACTCTCACCTGGGAAGCTTCCTCATGCAAAAGAGGGTGATTAATTCAGAAAGGCACAGCGGGCCAATGCGCAATGAATAAGAGCCTGCAGAATGCTTATTCATAGATGGGACATCTGTATCAATCCTCTATCACCAAGAGCTAAAGGACAATTATGGAAGAGAAAACAGAAAGACTGTAAGTGACAGAGGAAGTGGAAGACCAGAAGGAAACAGAGTTTTCCAGGTAACTGGGAATTTGTTCATATGAACTTCCAACAATGGTGACAGCTAGAACAAGACGCACGCTAGGTCAAAATGAAAATATAAATAAATAAATAAATAATAAATAAATAAATAAATAAATAAATAACACAGAAGTAGGGAAATGATTAAGAAGCCCCAACATTAGGTGAAAAAAATCTATTGGCAACAGATGACTACAAGGAGAGAGAGAGTTGGTTTTCCTTCAAGGAGTGATGGTAGATAAACTGTGACCAGGCTCCAGTGGATGATCTCACACTAAGGTACATTTTAGGAGAGAAACTTGGCTCTATTGGCCATAACATATATGGCAGAATAAATGAAATCCTGTGGGGAGTATAGGAGGGTATTAAATATGATCAAGATGTATTGTATGAAATTCAATTAGAAAAAATGAAATGTATTAGGATTTAAATTATGAGAATACATATTGTTGGATCCCCAGTCTGGGGTACCCAACATCCACAGGAGGCTGCACCCCAATAACTCAGTCCCCAGACCAAGAGATGCAACAAGCAAGAGGATTTTATTGGCGTCTGCGCAGACGGGCTCCTGCCTCACTCGGAAAGGAGAAGCCCCGAGCTCAGCTTACAGGCTGCTTATAAAGGCAAAAACCACAAACCACAAGTGGCTCCTAAGCCAAGAAAAGCAGAAATGGGAGGGGGGATTTTTTGGGTGATTTCCAGCTTGGGCGAGGTGCACAAAAAGGTCAGCTCTTTCTCAGTAGTTTAGAATTGTTTTTCGTTTTACTTCCTTGTACAACTTTTTCTTTGGCCTGGGGCGGGGCTTGGTTTGAATCCATCATCCCCCCCCTTTTCTTATGGCAAGATTTTAATCCTAAAATCTATAGGTCTTCTGTTCTTTTTAGAGCATGGTATTGCTGGATAAGGACCAAAGCCTGATAGTCGGTCCCTGATAAACTGTAGCAGTCTGTTGAGGATGCATGGTCCGAAGGTTAAAAGAAGGAGAAGAATAACTAGGGGGCCTATTAGGGTGGACACTAAGGTAGTTAACCAGGGGGTTTTATTAAACCATCCTTCAAACCACCCCTGTTTGGATTCACATTCTCTTTGTCTTTTATCTAATATCTGGTGGAGTTTAGTCAAAGAATCTCTAACAACCCCCGAGCTGTGAGCAGAGAAACAACACTCTTCACCGAGAGCTGCACAGAGTCCTCCCTCCTTGAGGAAAAGCAGATCCAGCCCTCTCCTATTTTGTAATACTACTTCTGAGAGGGAGGTTAGGGATTTCTCTGAGTGATTGACTATTCTATTGCCCTAATGTCCTCATCTATAGCCATCTGTAACTCTGCATAATGTTATGGTCCTTGTATTAGGGCCGCTGTTCCTGTTCCTACCCCTGCTGCCACCCCCACTCCCAGAAGTATAGCTAGGGTTAGGGACACAGGCTCTCTTTTATATCTATTTGGGTGTTGTTCGAAAAACTGTTCTACAGAATCTACGAGGTGGTAGAATACCCGGGGCAGGAGCTTAATCATGACACAATAATCCTGAGAGGTATTAAGGACTATACTGGCTACACAGGGAGTCAGTCCAGAGTTGCATGCCCACCAAGCCCCCTGTGGAGGTAGGAGGTAGTAATTCCCTTCCCCTGGAGGTACAGAAATAGTGGAGTTGCAAAGGTGGGTATGAGTTGGAGGTGGGTTTCCTAAGCAGAGTCCAGATCCTGAGACTTCCGTGAGGGTTAGGGGGTGAGGGGTCTCTCTATGGCATTGGTCAGTTGAGGTGGTGTTATTGAATGTCCCCTATGTAGCTATGCCTTCGTAGTAAGGGGGTGCTGCTGCTAAACATAGCCAACAAGAGTCAGTCAGGTTCGGGTTTGTCTGTTTGATGGCCTTATATGCTCCTTGGATTAGATTGAACAGTCGGTCCCCTGTGGTTGTAACCTTTTGACTTGGTGGACTGTGGGTTTGTTCGAGCAGGAAATTGGCAGGGGAAGTATTAGGAAAAGGGTTGGGGAGGTACTGTGAGGTGGCTTCAGGTATTAAAGCTGGCAGGGGATTTGGGTAGCTGGGGATGGGTTTCTGGATAGGCAAGATGGGGTTGGGACCTATAGCTGTTGGGTAGGAGGAGGTAGCTCTTTTAATAGTAAAAAGGAGGCCATCATCTGCTCATTCCTTATATAGTCTAATTCCCCAAGAATATCCCTTATCCCAATCTGTAGCCTTTTTACCTGCTGTTGTGAACTCTACTCAGGGGGGGGTTGCACCATTTACCTAGACAGGCCTGTTTGTGAGTAATTTTCCACTCATCAAATTTTCCCTGTAAACGACTGTTCTCATGAGAATAATTTGCTTTTACAGTGATATAATGCCATGATGAGGTCGGGGACCACCAAGTGTCCCCGGTTGTTTTGCATCCCCAGTTTTTGCAGTAAAAGTAGGCCCTCCCTCCACATTGGGGGTTGAGATATTTAGCCCGGTGATTGCCTGGGCAGACATAGAAGGTTAATGTATGCAACATGGTCTGGGGTTCATGAGGGCCACATCCCCCCCCCATGGGTCAAGTCCCAGTCTCCCGGGGGGACTTTCCTTGTCCGGTGCCACCTCAGTATTCCAGTTTCCTTCTAAGTCCCAGGGCTCTGGTGCTCCTAAGGCTAATTTACACAAATCTGGATACAGTATAGGCCACCAAGTACCCTTGGGTGCCATCTTGAGGGTTTCAAATACTACAATACCCATTTGATTAATTACCCACCAGGTGGTCAGCATAGGGAGATGGGGGCTTCCTTGACTTGGGAAAAACCTACAAACAAGTGGAATCATTAGGTATCTCTGGAGAGTCTTATTTTTAGAGCGTTGGATGTTTTGTGTAGATGCCATTTTCCAGTGTCCTCCTGGGCCAGGGCACTCTTGGCGTGGGAAGCATGAATCCAGGCCGAAATCTCGTCTACTTTGAGGGCCGTGGGCATAGTCAGGAGAACCATGTAGGGTCCTTTCCACCGTGGTTCAAGAGTCTTTACGTTGTGTCTTCTCGCGTACACCTGATCTCCAATCTGGTAGGGGTGGGGTGTACGTGGACTCCCAGGCCGGTAGAGAGCAGCCAAGGGCCTCCAAACCTGGTTCTGGATGATCTGGAGGGCTTGAAGTCTTTTTTTTAGGCTGGGGTTATCAAAAGAAGAGGGCAGGGGAGACAAAGTTACATTAAGGACAGGAGGGGGTCCTCCAAAGAGGATTTCGTAGGGGGTCAGGCCATGCATAGCGGGAGTATTTCTAGCCCAAAATAGAGCTAGAGGTAAGAGCTGTACCCAGTCTTTAGTGCCAGTCTCCAGAGCTAATTTAGTTAAGGTCTCTTTAATGGTTCTATTCATTTTTTCTACCTGTCCTGAACTTTGGGGTCTGTGAGCACAATGTAATTTCCAATTAATCCACAATGCTTTGGCCATTCCCTGACTTACCTGGGAGACGAAGGCTGGGCCATTATCAGATCCAATTACCTTGGGCAGTCTGAATCGAGGGAAGATTTCTTCAATTAATTTCTTCACCACAGTCTGGGCTGTTTCCTTCCGGGTGGGGAAAGCTTCAACCCACCCTGAGAAAGTGTCTATAAACACTAAGAGATATTTATAACCATATTTTCCTGGGAGGACCTCAGTAAAATCCACTTCCCAATTAGTCCCGGGTCGTGTCCCTCTTTCTGTCATGCCAGATGGGACCTTTGATCTTGAAGCATTCACCAGGGAACTTGAGACACAATCTCCCATTACCTTCTGGACTAGCTGGTTAAGGTCTGGGAAATAATAGATTTGTTCTTCTCTTTCTAGTAGCATTTTTAGTTTCTTGTGTCCTAAGTGCGTCTACTGGTGGAGTTGGGAGATTAACTCAAGGGCCGCCTTTCGGGGCAGTATGATTTGATCCTGATATTCCCACATTTTAGATTCTGGGTCCAAGGTAGCGTTGAGCTTCCGGACGAGTTCCAGATCTTGTTCAGTGTAAGTGAAAAGAGCCTCTCCCTCCCTTTTTTGTGTCTCAATTTCAGTCTTCAGGGCTGAATGAGTGTAGAGGACATGGGTGCTTTCTGCTGCCTGGTGGGCGGCTTCATCTGCCATTAGATTGCCCTGGGCAATCGGTCCCTGGCCTCGCTGATGTCCAGGGCAGTGGATGATGCTGACCTTTTTAGGCAAGTACAAGGCTTGCAGAAGGTCCACTATTGTTTCCTTGTTTTTAATGTCCTTACCAGCCAAGGCGAGGAGTCCCCATCTCTGGTAAATTTCCCCATGTATATAGGCTGTGGCAAACGCATAGCGACTGTTGGTGTAAATGTTGACCTTTTTGCCCTCTGCTAATTTTAGGGCCTGGGTTAGGGCTTTTAATTCAGCCTGTTGGGCTGATGTTCCGGCCGGCAGGGCTTGGGCCCAGATTATCTTCTCCCCATCAACCACCGCCACCCCCGCTTTGCGCTCACCATCTCACAGAAAGCTGCTGCCATCCGTATACCAAGTGGCATCTGCATCGATTAGGGGCTGGTCGGTGAGGTCTTCCCTAGTCCCATGCATTTCCGCAAGTATTTGCTGGCAGTCATGGGGAATCTCAGTGCCTTTCTTAGGAGCTGGTAGCAGCGTGGTGGGGTTTAAGGTGGCCGGGCTACCAAACTTAATCTTTTCTGGATTTAATAGTAGTGCCTGGTAATGGGTCACCCTGACATTTGACAGCCATCTGTCAGGGGGCTGTCTAATGATGGACTCCACCGCATGTGGTGTTATAACAGTTAAGGGCTGACTCATGGTGAGTTTGTCTGAGTCTTTTACCAGGGATGCTATTGCCGCCATGATTCTCAAACATGGGGGCCAGCCAGCAGCCACATTGTCCAGTCTCTTTGAGAGATAAGACACTGGCCTTTTCCAGGGTCCCAAAGTCTGAGTAAGAACTCCTTTTCCCATCCCTTTATTTTCATCTATGTATAAGGTGAAAGGTTTTGTCAAATCTGGCAATCCTAGAGCTGGAGCCGTCAACAGCGCTCTTTTTATTTTGTCAAAAGCTCTCTGGTGTTCTTCTGCCCAGACGAAAGGGGTCCCATTCTTTGTTAAAGGATATAGAGGAGCTGCTATTTCAGTGAAGCCCAGTCAGTATCCATAATCTACAGAATCCTGTGCTTCCCAAGAACTCTCTGAGTACTCTGGCTGAGGTTGGTGGGGGGATAGAGGCTACTGCCTGTTTCCTGCTTTCCATCAGCCAACATTGCCCTCCCTCCAACCTGTAGCCCAAATAGTTCACCTGCTGTAGGCAGATCTGGGCTTTCTTTGCCGAGGCCTGGTATCCAAGTTCTCCCAGTCTCAATAGGAGAGCCTCCGTACCTTGCAGACAGCCAGCTTCTGTCTCAGCCGCTAAGAGGAGGTCATCCACATATTGAAGAAGCATAATCTGTGGGTTTCTTACCCAAAAGTCAGCCAAATCACGATGTAGAGCTTCATCAAACAGAGTAGGGGAGTTCTTGAATTCTTGGTGAAGTCACCTCCAGGTTAGTTGCCCTGATATTCCAGCTTCAGGGTCCTTCCATTCAAAAGCAAAGATGGGCTGGCTAACCGGGCTCAGCCTTAGGCAGAAAAATGCATCCTTCAGGTCAAGTACAGTGTACCACCTGTGACTGGGAGGCAAGGAACTCAGGAGATTGTAGGGATTTGGAACAGTGGGGTGTATATCTTCTGTTCTCCGATTGACTTCTCTTAAGTCTTGGACCGGTCGATAGTCATTCGTTCCTGGCTTTTTCACGGGGAGCAGCGGGGTGTTCCAAGGGGAGGGACTGACAGGGGCAGAGTATGCCTATTTGTAAAAGTCTTTGAATGTGGGGTCTGATTCCCTCTCGGGCCTCTCTGCTCGTAGGGTATTGCTTGATTGAAACCGGGGTTACAGATGGTTTTAGAGTGACCACTATTGGAGGCTGGTTGGATGCTAGTCCCGGAACTCCTGTATCGGCCCATGCCGAGGGGAATTTAATTAGCCAATCAGGTATAACAGGAGTCCCTGCTATCGGTCCTTGATATAACCGATGTTCATCTTCCAGTCGCAGGGTTAACACTTGTAGTGGAGCTCCATCCTTTCCTTTTAGGGTAGCTCCCTTTCTAGTGAAGTGGATGTGGGCTCCCAGCTTAGAGAGTAAATCTCTCCCAAGAAGGGGATATGGACAGTCAGGGACCAATGAGAACGAGTGAGAGACTCGTCCTGTACTGAGGTCCACTTTTCTTTCTGTGGTCCATCTATATGTTTTTCTTCCGGTGGCCCCTTGAACGACCCAAGCTGTTTTGGAACTCATAGTTCCCTCAATTGTTGTCAGGACTGAGTGCTGAGCTCCTGTGTCTATCATGAAGGTAGTCAATTGCCCCCCTATCTTCAAGGTTACCCTGGGCTCAGGGGGGAGCTCCTGGCCCCGACTTCCCTAGTCCCCTAGAGTCAGGACTGGGGTTATTTTCTTTTGAAGTCTGTTCAGCTTCTTCGGACATTCTCGAGCCCAATGTCCTCTTCTTTTGTCTCCCAGGTCCCTACCTGGTCCTGCTCCCTGGACTACTGTGGCCAAAATTCGACTTAACTCTTTATTTCTCTTTTTCTCTCTCTTATCTTCTCTAGCTTCCTGTTCTTTTCTGATTCTGTCCTCTCTTCTAATGTCTCTCACCTATTATAGATTCTTTCAGCTTCTCTTACTAAATCCTGTATGGAGTACCCCTGAAGGCCTTCTAGCCGTTGGAACTTACCACAAATGTCAGGAGCAGATTGTCCTATGAAGGCCATAATAAGGTCCACCTGACGCTCCTGGGCCGTGGGATCAAAAGGGGTGTACATCCTATATCCCTCTATTAGGCGCTCTAGGAACCCTGTGGGGGTTTCATTTTCCCCCTGGGTTATAGCACATACCTTTGCCAAATTGGTTGGGCACCTTCCGGCCCCTTTGAGACCTGCTATCAGAGTCTGGCGATAAAGACGGAGATGCTCCCTACCAGCCAGGGTCTCGTGGTTCCAGTTGGGTCTGGTCAGAGGAAATCCTTTGTCTATTTCATTTCGGAGCAGAGTGGGTCTCCCATCCTGCCCGGGCACATTTTTCCAGGCTTCTAGGATGACTCGCTGTCTTTCCTCTGTGGTTAAAAGTGCCTGGAGGAGTTGTTGACAGTCCTCCCAGGTGGGTTGGTGGGTGAGGAGGATAGACTCTATTAAAGCAGTTAGAGCCTGAGGGTCCTGAGAAAAAGAGGAGTTATGGGTTTTCTAATTATACAAGTCAGAGGCTGAAAAAGGCCAGTACTGGATCTTGTCCCCTACAGTTTGGAGGGGAAAAATCTGGGAAGTCCAGGTTCCATCAGAAAGGCCCCCTCTGTCCCTCCTCAGGTGGAGTCTGCTAGACAGAAGGGGGATTGGTTGGGTTTGGTAGAATCGGGAAAGGGATGAGGTTCCGGGGATGGAGGTGCCTGCACGGGTGGATAGGGAGGCTTGGTCCTCGGGGAGGACTGGCTTTTGTTTCTTCTTCTCAGGGGAAGACTGAAGGGGCAGGAGGGAAGAAGTGAGATTCAGGGGAGCTGAAGGGGTAAGGGGCCCTTGATCAGTCTCTCTGGTTCCCAGAGGAGGCAGGAATGGCTGTGCCCAAGGTGTGAGGTTCTGGGCCAAGTCTTCCCAGGTGACTATATAGGCCACCTGGTCCGGGTGTCTGTGGGGTCCTGGGTGGAAAATGTATTCCTTAACCTGTAAGATAGTAGCAAGGTCAAAAGTCCCATCCCTTGGCCATCGTTTTTCGAAAGAGGGCCACTCAGAGGAACAGAAACTTTGCCACTTCTTCTTTCGGACCTCCACTGATAAGTTGTGGGCCCGCTCCACGACCTCCTTCCAGTATTCTAGAGTTAAGCTTAAAGGGGTAGTTGGTGATTGATCCATGATGGGGGTCACGCGTGCGCATGCGCGCGCTTGAGAGAGAGAGAGAGAGAGAGAGAGAGAGAGAGAGACAGAGACAGAGAGAGAGACAGAGAGAGAGAGAGAAAGGGAAAGGGAGAAGTGAAGATGCCATTCCAAACAATAGTGACCAGTGAGTGTGCTTGTGGACGAGTACCTATTGTTGCCCAGCTTTTCTTCTGCGGGGGACGTGAATTTATCTGGGATTTATGCCTGGGACCCCCTTATCCTTTCATGGGAATCTTTTAGTGGTGAGCGCCCTATGGCTCTTATTTGCTCAACCCATGCCCGTGGGGCTTTTTCAGTGGCCGGAGAGAGGGATGGAGAGGAGAGGGAGATACAGAAAATCCGTCTTGTCTCCACCCGTGTGGGCAGTCGGTGTCCGTTAAGATGGCTAAGAGCCTTTGGCTTACATCAGGGAGTGGCCCTGACCAGAAAACCTCAATTGCTCTTTTGCCTTTAATGGTCCCATGCGAAGACTTAGACCGAGAATAAAAGGAAGGAGAAGGAGGAAGGGAAGTTTTAAAATAGAGAGTGTAGAGAAAAATACAGAACCAGACCTTCCCCTTTTAAGACATTAACATAACCATCAAGTACACACACATCACGTTGAATCACATTCGTGTGGACCGGTCCTTCTTTCACTCAGACTCACACTGCACTCATCATTTTCACTTTCAGGATCCCTGAGCACAAATACAGACAAACACAAAACAAAAATCCTTGCCGCGTGCTTCTTGACTCAAAAACTGAAAGTACAGATCAGGAGGGGAGTAGCTCAGCCAATCTCCCTTCTCCCAGGGTGAGGAAAGCTACACTGTCCTCCCCACTCCAGATCACTCTGGTCACTAAGGCCAGAGTGTCAGAACCAGGGGCCTCTGGGCACGTCTGCCACTCCTGCTGGTTCCCAGAATACAGACGTACAGGTCCTGTACAGGCACAATTGTTCAGAAGGAACGTTCCCAGAACAGGAAATGACTGACAGACATTAAGACCAAGACAAACCACAAGATGTCTGTCCTTACCTCCTGCTGATCTGAGGAAATGAGTCTGGGGGGTGACCAAATCCCGGACGAGCCCCCAAATGTTGGCCCCCCCCCCCAGTCTGGGGTACCCAATGTCCACAGGAGGCTGCACCCCAATAACTCAGTCCCCAGGCCAGGATATGCAACAAGCAAGAGGATTTTATTGGCGTCTGCGCAGACAGGCTCCTGCCTCACTCGGAAAGGAGAAGCCCCGAGCTCAGCTTACAGGCTGATTATAAAGGCAAAAACCACAAACCACAAGCGGCTACTGAGCCAAAAAGCAGAAGCGGGAGGGGGGATTTTTCGGGTGATTTCCAGCTTGGGCGAGGTGCACAAAAAGGTCAGCTCTTTCTCAGCAGTTTAGAATTGTTTTTCGTTTTACTTCCTTGTACAACATTTTCTTTGGCCTGGGGGGGCTTGGTTTGAATCCATCAATATGTTCACTTTTATTGCTTTTAATTTCTCATGGCACTGAAGAGAAAGAGCCATTCTTTTCCCTCCTGTTTTGGAAATAAGAAACAATCATTTAAAAATAATTTTATCTCCATTAAAATATATTGCAAACACTTGTCCATTATGTTTTTTAAAATAAGGTATTTTCTTTGTTTGTTTTTTGACTGAGTCTTCCTAGTGCTGGCCACCTGGAAGTCACTATGTGAACCAGGCTGGCCTGGATCTTGTAGAAATGAACTGCTAACTTTCCTGGTAAATAAGAAATGTATTTTCTATTTTTAGATTCACAGTCTAATGTTTTTTGTAAACTATATTTACATTAAGGTAATCCGAGGATGAGTTTAGGGTTAATAGAGATTAGGATGATTGGGATGATGTGGAGTAATATGATAGTTGATTCACGGGTGTGTGGGGGTGGTAGGAATTTAGTGTGATTGGTTACACCTACCTCTGTCTCCTGAGGGCTGGGACATGCACCACCATGCCCAGTGTGATAAACTATTTTCATTATTTATGCTTTTCTTCTAAAGAATTCTATGTTTTACCACTTTTAAACAAATTTAATAAATCAATTGGTTCAAAAGTGAAGTATAACATTTCTAAAAGATTATATATCAGTTGTTATAACAGCACTTGATAATAAAAAAAAGTAAATAATGTTTCTGTTATTAACTTCATGCATGATAATAAAAATAAGCCATGAAGTTGAAATTTTATGCTGCTGAACTCCTTAAAAATATTTTAGAGATATAATGTCCAAGCTGAGGCAATCAGTTGAAGTGATACCATAAAGACATTTCTCAAGTTTGGGGTCTTATCTACTGATTCCATTTTGAGTTCTGTTACTTGGAGAGTAAGTTTCTAAGTTTGGCTTTCCCAGAATCTTCTAACATAATTGTAAGTGCAAGATAAATATAAAAATAAATATAACTTTAAAGGCAAAGAGGAAATGATTGGGTAAATTTAGAGTCAGAAAGGAAGGGCAATCATTATTAGCATAGCAAGTAGTCCAGAGAGTTTGCTTTGATTGGCAAAGAGCTTTCAGGAGCAACCATCTGATGGATAAAGAGTTTTACACAAGGGTGACATCTTTAGCCTTTGAACATTTTCCATATCTGTGGACTTTCCTGTACTTTATTACAAAGCAAAATCTAGTTTCACTCATGATCCATGCTATTCACACTGCTGTCTGTTCATTTAGAGTTTTGCAGATTAATATATCTAAAATTGAAACTTGATGTAGGGTTTAATTTTACTTGATTTTGGCAAAAGGGTTACTTTATTTGAAAATGAACGACACATGGAAATGATGGCTAATGTATTAATGTACCATACGGCTGGAAAAAATGTACACTAATATGATCCAGATTTTAATGTTTTGTATTAATTTCAAAGTACATAAACATATTTTAAAATATATTGTTTGTTATTTTTAATTTATGTGTCTGATTGTATTGCCTGCATGTAGGTAAATGCATGTGTGAAGTGCAATGCCATGGAGGTCAGAAGATGGCATTGGATCCCCTGGTACTGGATTTAGACTGTTGTTAGCCACCACATGGGTGGTGGGAACCAAACCCAGGTTTTCTGCAAGAGCAGCCAGTGCTCTTAACTGAGGAGCAATCTCTCCAGCCCAAATAAATTTATTTTTTGAGGTAAATTGTTCACAGAACATTTTAGAAGAGTGGGCAGAAAGAAAGAGCCAGAAGATAGGGAGATAGGTTTCAAAATACCATCCTATGAGTGATGTATAGCCTTTGCATCACAAAGTCACATCAACAGCGGATGCCAGCACTGGGCCTGCACAATAGTGGATGCCAGACACAGGTTAAGGAAAGACACGAGGGGCCTTACCCTGAATGCTGATATTTGTGATCCATAAACTCAGAGAAAAGGATTTCTTTGCCTTTGGTTGTATACCCACTGATGACCCCACCAGGCTCCTTTGGCTTTGTCATTCCAATGGTCGTACAGATGGTGCTTCTTAAATTAAATGAAACACAAACAAAAGTCAAAATTCATGTTTCTCAGAAAGCAGCTGGTAAGGCAGAGACGTGGTTGAATACGTTTTGAGGGAGAAAGGAGAGGGTGTCAGTAGAGAACAATTAGAATCTATTGGGTTCAGGTGTGAAATTGTCAAATAACTAAAAAATAAAATAAGATTGTAGGCAATAGAGTTGGAAGGAGAGGAACAAAACTATGTCCTCAAGGCATGACAGGATGTCCTATCAACTCAAAATAGACATAGTTGCCTTCACAGGACCCACACAAGATTAATCCAGTCAAACTCCTACCATGGAGTGGAAATAAGTTCAGAAGCCCCCAATCTAACTGAGAAGCTTCTGATGGAAAAGAGCCAGTTTTCTTTAAGCATGTTGCTCCTGGTAGGTCAACCACATGTCAGTGGGTGGCACTGAGCCCAGAAATGTGTGGACGTCACAGTTGATATTGCTGGGTTATTAAGTTATAAAGAAAAAGAGCAACACACTATGAGAATAGAGGTGTGGGAGGCATTTCTGAAAGGAGTTAAGGTGAAAGGTTGGGGTGAATATGATTAAAATGTGTTATTGAAATTCTCAAACACAATAAATATTATTTTAAAATATTTTATTTATTAATTTTCTTTTATGTTAGTGTATCACTTGCATGTAAGTGCACTATGTTATTTAATGACTGCAGATGTCAGAAGAGGACATTGGATTCCCTAGAACTGGAGTTAGGAGTGGTTGTTAGCCACCATGTGGGTTCTGGGAACCAAATCTGGGTCCCCTGAAAGATCATTCAGTGCTCTTTACTACAGAGCCATCTCTCCAACCTCAGGGTCCTAAAACTATTTTATAAAAAATGTTTTATTCTTTGGTTGACATTGCTTTGTATCTATACATTGCTTTGTTAAGCTGGTCATTTTCATAATATTATTTCTACCAATCCAAGAGCATGATACGTCTTTCCATCTCCTAGTGTCTACGTCTATCTATTTCTCTCTCTCTTTTTAAGATTTACAGTTTTCAATGTAGATATCTTTAATATCTTTGGTTAGGCTTATTCCTAAATATTTTTTGAGGGTATTGTGAATGGGAGGATTTCCTTGAATGCTTTTTCTGTTTGTTATTTTTATATAAAAATGTTACTGTATTTTTCAGTTGATTTTGTAACCTGCCACTTTACTGAAAGTACTAATTATTTCTAACAGTTTTCTGGTCAAAATTTTTGGATCTCTTTTGTATAATAGCATATTATCTGCAAATAGTGATGATTTGATTTCTTCTTTTGCAATTGGTACTACTGTAATTTCCTTCTCTTGTCTTACAGCTCTTGCAAGAGATTCAAGGACTATATTGAATAGGAGTAGAGAGCCATGTCTGGTTCCTGATTTTAATGGGAATGCTTCCAGTTTGTCTCCATTTAGAATGATGTTGGCTATGGGATGTTGTATATAGCTTTCATTATGTTGAGGTATGTTCCTTCCAGACCCATTACTTCTAAGTCATTTAACATGAATGCATG